ATCCTTATTCCCTGTTTCTTTCTGTCATGTGGCCTATAGACTAGAGTAGCTAGAGGCAAATGGAAGCAAAGTGATTGCTCACACACTGGATTTGGAAGATGATGAAGTGGCCTCTTTGCCTACTTCTTCTTTTTAAAAATCACGTATTTGTCGGGTGGTGGTAGCCCACGCCTTTAATCCCAGCACTTGGGAGGCAGAGCCAGGCGGATCTCTGTGAGTTCAAGGCCAGCCTGGTCTACAGAGCGAGATCCAGGACAGGCACCAAAACTACACAGAGAAACCCTGTCTCGAAAAACCAAAAAAAGATATATATATAAAATAACTTGTAAATTAAAAATGAAACAACCATGCAGCTAGGCTAATGAAAGCATTCCAACAAGCCCAGACCCAAAGTCTATATACATCTCAATGAACTTGTTTACAGTGACAATAGCTGTTCTGAAATATTGAGACTTGACTATTCAAAAATGTGTGACATTTACTCCAAAAACCATTCAAATTCTTGATGCTGTCCGATTTCTGTGTTTTCCGAAGATGTGAAGAACTGGCCATACTCAGCCAGCTGTCCTTTGGAAATAGGCTAGTATTCCAGATCAGTTCTGGTCTCTATGTGTTGCTTCTTTAAGAGGAGATTAACTCACTTCCTCAAGGTTAAACAACACCTAACACAAGTTTCTGGTGCTCTTGTTTGGGTAGACTTTTATGAGGAAAAGGGCTGTCTTTGGATGAACATATAATCCATTCCATTTCCTGACAGCATGGTCTGTTTCTCCCTCACAACCACTGCAGTAGAGAATTCTTATCATGGTAATGAAGAGTGCAGGGTTCAGTTAGTTGAGAGACTCTGAGTGCTCCCAAATAAAGAAGGATAGTAACAGTACTTATCATAGTAGTTGTGAAAATTAATTTGTGTAAGAAATTTAATTTGTGTGATGTGCTCTTATTCAGCACCCCAAAGATAATAAGCGCTTAGCCAAGTTGGCCTCCTGCTTCATAGTGAGACTCATTTTACAGGTAAGAAGTCATCTCAGAGAGGCTAAGTAACTTGTCATATCTGAGGGAAGTTAAGTATCTTACTTAAGGGCTCCACATAAGTAAGTCACAACAGAAGGATTCAATTCCTTTTAACTAATTTCAGGTATGTTCAATTCTAGAGTTTGTGTTTCTCACTATGTTGCTTTTCTGTTAGGTCATCTATGTGGACCTATGGTCCAATGCCATAGGATGATGGGATGAAATGCATAACAATTGGGGATCGCCGGGCGGTGGTAGCGCACGCCTTTAATTCCAGCACTTGGGGAGGCAGAGTCAGGCAGATCTCTGTGAGTTTGAGGTCAGCCTGGTCTACAGAGTGAGTTCTAGGAAAGACGCAAAGCTACACAGAGAAACCCTATCTCGAAAAACCAAAAAAAAAAGAACAATTGGGGATCAAAAAAATGAGGGATTATCTCAAAACTTCTGTACCTACAACTCACGTTCTAGATGTTGCATTATAAACAGAAGAAGAGGAGGAGCAGGAGGATGAAGAGGCAGCATTGGCAGAGGCAGCTGCTATATCTAAGACACTAACGGAGTCCTTTGCACTTTTGAGTGATGGGTTCAAAATAGTGAAATAGACATAACTCAGCAAAGTGAAGGAGTTTGCCCAGGCTCATACAATGGACGGATGGTTTGGAACCCCAGCAGGAAGCATGCAAGTGGCCTTCACCAAGCTCTTGACCTCTCTAATAAATAGATCATCCCTTTGCTCTGAAAAAAGACTCTCTGATTCAGAGTGAACTTAGCATTAATACACGGTATAGCCAAGTCTTAAATGGCCAGAATCTCAGAAACAGGATAAGTTAATCTTGTGAGATAAATGTCATGATTGTGAATGGATAAAGTCAACGAGATGCCACAGGAGACCAAACTAATATGCTATCAGCTAAAGGAAACACTCTTGTGGCCCTGGCTTGGGACTGGGATGTGTTTTGTGCAGCCGGTCCGTTTTCATATTATTTGCATCCTTGTGCATTTCCGTTCACTGTTAGGATTTTTATTCACAAAGACCATCTCTGGAAGATGTAGTTTTGTTGAATATATTCTTCTAAGCATATTAGAGAGAAGAAGTAAGTTTTCATGTTTTGGAGCAAGCTGAATTTAATTTGCCAGAAAAAGTAGGTACATCTGAGCATATATGTTTAATTGATGTTTTTCTCACTAACTACAGTGGTGCTTCTTTTTACTGAAGAGTGTGCATTTTATGGATTTGGATAAGCTGCATGTGCCCCGATGGGAAAATTACAAAAGAGAATCTTGATGTGGTTTAGCTAACCTGTGAGATTGCCATTCAACATCAGAATTTTAATTCTCCCTCCCTCCCTCCCTCCCTCCCTCCCTCCCTCCCTCCCTCCCTTCCTCCCTCCCTCTCTCTCGCTCTGTGTGTGTGTGTGTGTGTGTGTGTGTGTGTGTATGAAAGAGAGAGAGAGAGAGAGAGAGAGAGAGAGAGAGAGAGAAGAGATATGTGTGCACATACATTTGTGTGAGTACAGGCATGTGCATGCCACAGCATGTATACTGAGGTCAGAGGACAGCCTTGGGTATCAGTCCTCACTTTTTGCCTTCTTTGAGTCATGGCCTTGTTAGCTGCTGTGTATGCCAGATTTAATGGTCTGTAGGCTTCTGGGGGTTCCCTTGTCTTCAGCTCCTATATTCCAGTAGGATCCTTGGGGTTACAGATGCACACTACTCTGTCTGGGTTTATGTGGGTTTCAGGGTATAGCAAGCAAGATGTCCACTGAACCTTCTTTCCAGTCCAACAATGAAATTTTAAAGGCATTCTGAAATATTGTATAGCCAATATATTTTTGAATTGTTAAATAACAAACTCTGAAATACAAAAATAAATACATGATTTTTGTATCTTAAAATTATCTTCAAAGGAAGAAAAAGAACCAGAAATGAATTATAAAATCTCTTTAACAAGTGCAAGTCAAAATCAAAACCTTAATATTCAATGCTGTTAAGCACTGTGTTCTAGAAGGGGGACATTTCTCCATGCCTTGTTACAAATGACACACACAATCCATTATCACTAGGATCCCAGAGTTTCTAGAAAGTCTCTCATCAGGACTTTTTCCACTCATTGAGTCATGTATTTATTTATTTATTTATTTATTTATTTATTTATTTATTTATTTATTTATTTTGGTTTTTCAGACAGGGTTTCTCTGTGTAGCGTTGGAGCCTGTCCTGGAACTTGCTCTGTAGACCAGGCTGGCCTCGAACTCACAGAGATTCATCGGAGCATTTATTTAAGTGCAGTTTTATTGTTGTTTCTCTCCAAATGGATTCGCTTTAGGATTTCTTAACATAACAAGTTCACAAGGCACTTTCACTATAATTTGATGGAGTAGAACTTCGTCTATATCCTTTCTCAGTTAGCAGTCATGCCATAAACAGCCATCCTGCTGCTATCCACAGTGTGTCTGGAAGTGTAACATTAGCTCAAGCTTTCAAATGTGTTCAAATTATGCATATTTTTCTACTGGAAAATGTATGAAATTCTGAAATAAATGTATATTACCCCTATGTGAGTGAAAATGCTATAACCCTGATAATTCTCAGAGGCTTATTTGAATCCGAATTCTAAGACCATAGCTTTCCTTTGTCTTCGGCTTCAACAGTGACTGATTTACATCATGCAAACCACCCTAAAAAGACAGGAAAGGGGAAATTGAACATTAAAAAATGAATAGCATATTTCTGAGGAATTCCCCTGAATTATAAAGGTCTAACCTTTATTGCAGTTGGTAGCAGGTTTACTGTGAGCATTAAAGAAAAGAAAAGTCTGGTTTTTTAATTAAAATCATAAAACCTAAGAACAATAAACACTCTTAAACTTTTGCAGTTTGTTTTCCCATTTCCATCATGCACAGTATATGGCTTTACTTTGTGATAAAATCCTGAACATATTTCTTGATTTCAGTGTTGAAGGACAATTTTCCACGAGTCTGGATATTGCCCTGCACTCCATTCTTTCTTCTTTCCTTCCCTCCCTCCCTCAATCCCTCACTCTTTCCTCCCTCTCTTCTTTCTTTTTTCCTCTTTTTTATTAAGTATTTATTGCTTGTATATATTGTATATAGTTATTATACTTTTTTATTATTTATTTATTTATTTATTTTTCTATTATCAGCTTGATAAGTATAAATTCTTATCTTAATAGTGAAATGTTTCATTGAGGTTTGCCCAGTAATTGAGTAAAACCAAAACTTATTAAAAGCCACAATCATCCTAGGGTCCCCCCTGCTATATAGCCTCCCTGGTTCTGTGGGTTGCAGTCTGATTGTTCTTTGCTTTATATCTAGAATCCTCTTTTTTCCTCTGACTGTATCTCAAGTATCCCATGCTAGCCTCACGCTTACTGTGTTGCCAAAGATAACCTTGAACTTCTGTTTGGTTTGTTTTTATTTTTGGAGACAGGGTTTCTCTGTGCAGCCCTGGCTGTCCCGGAAATCCAGTTGTAGACCAGGCTGACCTTGAACTCACAGTCACAGAGTTCTGCCTGCCTCTGCCTCCCGTTTGTTGGGATTAAAGGCATGTGTCACCACGCCTGGCAACCTTGAGTTTCTGATCCTCCTGCTTTTCCTTCCTGGGGATAACAGTTGTGTATAAGCACTCCCAGTTCTATTTGGTGCTTGTGATCAAGCCTAGGCTTTGTGCATGCTACATCACTAGCTCATGGACATCTTTCAAGAGGAGGGACTGACTGCTTTTTTTTTTTTTTTTTTTTTTTTGTTTTTCGAGACAGGGTTTCTCTGTGTAGCTTTGCGCCTTTCCTGGATCTCGCTCTGTAGCCCAGGCTGGCCTCGAACTCACAGAGATCCGCCTGGCTCTGCCTCCCGAGTGCTGGGATTAAAGGCGTGCGCCACCACCGCCCGGCGGGACTGACTGCTTTTATTACAGGTGGTCTTTGTATGAATTTATGAATAACAGCCTTGAAAAATGAACGGTCTCTTGTGCTCGCCTCGGCAGCATGCATACTAAAATTGGAACGATACGGAGAAGATTAGCATGGTCCCTGCGCAAGGATGACACGCAAATTTGTGAAGCGTTCCATGTTAAAAAAAAGAAAGAAAGAAAGAAAGAAAGAAAGAAAGAAAGAAAGAAAGAAGAGAAAAGAAGAACAGTCTCTCCAGAGCAAAGAACAGCTGTACCTGTTCATATATGGAGTGAGAATGGCTCTCTCAGAGGCACATATGTTTGAATGCTTGGTCCCCAGTTAATAGAACTATTTGGGAAGGATTAGGAGCGGTGGCCTTTTTAGATGAGGACTGTCGCTAGGAGTGGGCTTTGAGGTTTCCAAAGCCCACACCAAGCCCAGTCTCTCTCTCTCTCTCTGCCTGCAACTTGAAGATCAGTCACTAGCTCTCAGCTACTTCTTCAGTACCATGCCTGCTGTCTGCTGCCATGCTCCCCACCATGATGGTCATGTACCATCTGAAACTGTAAGCAAGGTCCTACTTAAATGCCTTCTCTTATAAGTTGCTTTGGCCATGGTGTCTCCTCACAGCAATAGAATACTCTATATAGAATATACTATATTAAAGAGTTAGGTTCCTTAGCTTAGGATTTCTTACCTGTTACACAATACTGCATATCCAGCTGTCTGCACTCATTTGCAATGCCCTGCATTACCCTATTGAAAGTAGGTGTTGGGGTGCCAATGCAAATGCTGATGCTACCTATAGAGTAAGATAAAGCCCTCTATCCTTGACCCAGGAGCCTCATATTATCTCACAGCCTTCATTGAATTGTGGCATGCTAATTCATTAGTCAGTGTTGATATCCACAATCAAACTGACTGGATTTAGAGTCACTTGGGAAACAAACCTCTGAACATATCTGTAAGTCCCTATCCAATGATGTCTAATAGGGGAAGGAAGACTTATCCAGAATGGGAGTGGCACCATTGCACAGGCTGAAGCTAAGGACATAGTGAGATGGTGTGGTAATATTTTATTTGTGCTGAAATGTGGTGATATTTTATTTGTGCTTTAATAGATAAATCTTGACTGGAGATCAGGGGGAAAAGGCAAGCCATTTTAAGAAAACAAAGTCAGGCAGCACATGCCCTTAATCCAATCACTTATCAGGCAGAGTCTCTGTGTGTTCAAGGCCATACTAGGGAACAGAGCCAAGCATGGTGACACATGCCTTAAATCCCAGTACCAACCGTAGAGACCTGGAGGTCTGTACAGACAGGCAGTGACAAAGAAGTGAGGTAGCTGGGCTAAGAGCCAATGAGAGGGCAGAAAAGCAAGGCAAATAAAGGCGTGGGTAGACAGGAGGTAACTCACATTTGGAAGCTGCAGAGTTGGTGAGGTAAGGTTGGCTGGAGGCTATCCCTATTTCTCTGATCTCTCTAAGGCTTTCACCCCTATATTTGGCTCTGTGTTTTTTATTTAATAAGACCATTTAGATATTCATCTACAAAGGCACTTGCCCCCAAACCTGACGACATGATTTAGATCCTTGGGACCCACAGATGGAAGAGAATGGACTCTTACAAGTTGTCCTCTGACTTCCACTTGTATGCCTTATGTATATGTATATGTATATGGACACACACACACACACACACACACACACACACACACACACACACAAATGTTTAAGGGCAAAAAAAGATGGGACTGGAGAGACTGCTCGCAGATGAAGAGCACCTGTGGACACCTGCACACACATGCCACACACACAGACACACAATAGGAAATGATAAAATTCTAAAAAAAAAAAAAAAAGAGGAAGAGGAGGAGAAGGAGAAGAGGAAGAGGAAGAAAAAGAAGTGGCATATCAGCATTCCTCTCTCTCTGCTTCCTGACTGCAGATTTGATGTGACCTGCCCCCTAATGCTCCTGATGCTACGCCTTGCCCACCAAGATGGACTGGACCCTTGAACTGGAGGTTAGAATAAACCCATCCTTCCTCAGATTACTTCTGTCGGGTGTTTTATCACAACATGAAGAAAAATAACCAATATAGACAATGAGGAGGCAAAGTTCAGATTGTTCATGGATCTTGACAAGAAGTTATATGTTGTGTGGGGACAAAGATTCTTCTTCCTGTCATTTCTTGAGAGAGTTTTTGCAACATATGCACTAGATTTTAAAAAATAGGTAGCATATCACAATGATAAAGAACACAGACTCTGCAGCCAGGCTGTCTTAGTTTAATCCTGGCTAGGGCCTTCTTTTAGTTTCTGTTCCGCCAGAAATTGACTCTGCATCAAGACTATGACGGCAGCAATCTTAGAAATCACTGTTACACAGTGAAAAGGTAAGGAGAATAGAGATGGCTCAGTGGTTAAGAACACTGTCTGTTCTTACAGAGGGCCCGGGTTTGGTTCCCAGCACCCACATGGCATCTCACAACCTCCTGTAATTCCAATTCCAGGGCTTCTGATGCCCTCTTCTAGCCTCTATGGGCACGGCTTCCACATACATGGTACACATATAGATAAAATATAAATAAATCTTTTTTAAAAATGAGAGGAATAAATGAAAGTGAATAAATGATGAACTTTCAAGGAAGTTATGATGGTGGATATTCAGCTTAATTCTACTCAAGAACTCTTGGTGGCCAATATAAAATGAGAACTTTAGAGTTATCTTGCCAGAGGGTGAAGGAACTGGGAGGTAGTATACCAGTTCCCACATGTCGGTTGGTTGAGGGCTCCTGGGGTGGATAGGTTTTGATTCTAGCCCTGAACTCTGACCAGTCTTGCATAGCACAAAGATGGTTGCAACGGGCCTTGGCAGTTATGAGTGAAAACTGGGTATTTATCACATGGATAAAGCATGAAGAAATAATAGTAGGCACACTTACAGACTTGGCTACATATTTCCTCTTATGGTTTATTCTTAGGATATTATTCGAGGCTGTTTAATGTTCCAATTTCCTCATCTGTAGAATGGAAATGATAATAGTACCATTACATAAGGTTGGTAAAAGAATGGCATATTGAAATAGTGGAAAGCACATAAAACAGAGCTTAACAAGAACTTAGTAAATGTTGGCCATCATTACAAAAGAGTACACCATTTATTCCCTGCTTGATATTTGCTGTGTACTATTCTCTGACAGGAGAGTTTGACTTTTAATCATGGCATTTTATTTTACTAAATGTCTGTGATGGACTCTTGGAGATTCAAGGCGTATTTATGTTTGACATGTGTCAAGGGGCAACTTTGGCTGCCACCTGGGAAGCACCAGGGATGATGTATTTAAAGCTTATTCCTATTTAAATTTCCTTAGAGAACTGATGGGGCTAAGCACTCCTGAACTCTCTAATTTAAAGATTTACCGCTCTGCCAGTGAAACTAATTAAAACTTATTTGAAGTATCAGTAGCACAGTCTCCATTTTTCCCTTCTAAAATGTGAATGAGAATATAAAAGAGAAGCGTGTTTATTCATGTATTAAAATTGTATGTTTATGGCTGCTTTGCCTATATGTATGTCTATTCATCAAATGTCCACAGAGGCCAGAAGTGAGTGTCTGATCCTTTGGGACTGGAGTCATAGATGGCTGCGAGCCACCCTGTGGGTGCTGGAAATTGAACCCCAGGTCCTCTGAAAGAGCAGCCAGTGCTCTTACTAACTCCTGAGCCATTTCTCCAGCCCCTGAGAAGTGTGTTTTGAATACAGTTTTCTAGCATTATATAATATCTGTGTAAGACTCCCGTGAATCCATGTGATGTTAACTACAGAATTCACCAAAATGCTTCGGACTTTAAAAAAAGGCTACTTAACTTTCGATTAGGATAAATTCGTACGGTTAGCCAGACAGCCCTGGTAGGAAATCACTAAGCGTTTGTAAACTATGCATAAATTAAATCCAAATTTTTATTGCTTTTAAGCATTTCAAATGTCCTTTTAGTGTGTATGTGAGCATAAAATAACATGATAGCAACAACAGATGTTTCAAGTAGTCTTTTGGTGAATATAAGTGATTAATAAAAATAATGCAACAGTAGTAACAGATTTGAGTTCTGTGTCAGAACTTTGTCTTCATCCTTTGTCAGTCCCCCTCTGGAGAGACTAGCCTGAGCAACCTCAGGAACCTAAGGGCTTCCCAGCGACGTTGAAGACACTGCCTCAAATCAGGCTAGGGAACTGGTACAGCTAGGGACAGTGGCACTGTCACAGTTCAGGGTGCATCAGCACAGTAGAGCAGCCATATCCCATCCCTCCTCCATACCCAGGGGCTGAGCCCACACCCTAATCACCCCATGTTCCGTGAAATCTCATCTCTTCTGGACACACTCGGAAGCAAAACAGAGCTTATCTCACAACATAAATCACTCTCCTTTTATTCCATTCCCCAAAGGCCCCATTTTTTGCGGGGGTGGTGGTGGTTGTGGTGGTGGTGGTGGTGGTGAAATATAACATTTAAAATATCTATTTCTACCAAATGATTAATGGGGATAATGATTCCAGCACAGTGTCTGGTGTATAAATGTTTTGGAGACTATAAAACATCTGGTGATCTTTGCAGGACATATATATTCTAACAGGGACAACTTGGAGTTTTTTCTTTCTTTCTTTTTGTTTTTTTATTTTTCCATACAGTGTTTCTCTGTGTAGCTTTGGAGCCTGTCCTAGAACTCGCTCTGTATACCAGGCTGGCCTTGAACTCACAGGGATCCGTCTGCCTCTGCCTCCCAAGTGCTGGGATTAAAGGTATGTGCCACTACCGCCCGGCCTTGGAGTTATTTCTTAAACCATGGAGAGTGACACCAGACTTTAAAGGCTCCACCCTAGGATAGAGTTGTGTTTGGGAGCATGTTACCCATTGAAGGGCCCCAGCATACTTGCTTAGCCTAACGCCATTTTTGAGCAGGGTCTGAAAAGTAACTAGAGGTCAGAAAAACAACTTGTACCCTGGATGAGAGCCAAGTCAGCAGGCGTGTCGAGCTCGGGGAAAAACCACGAGCTGTCCTGAGTTTGAACCTGGCCTCATACGAATCGTCCAATCAGAACCCTGTAAACTATGCTTCCTGCTTCTGTACCCGCCCTTCCGCTGCCCAACCCTATAAAAACCCTCCACTCCAGCCCGTGGGCGC